TAAGTAAACGTTTATTTAGCATTAGATTTGAATTAACTGAACAAGCATTCAAACACTCGATTAATAGAAAGCGGCTGTTTAAAATGAACTATTCTCATAAGACGTCTCTGATTATACGCATTATATAAGTATGTTAGTTGTGCACTGAAGCCTAATTATCAAGCCCCTTTTAATTCGCAAATTTATAAAAAGTTTTCACGTGTGATAAAAATATTTTAAACAATATTAAAATTTAAAAACAAAAAAACAACAACAACAACAACAACAAAAAGCAAAGCCTATACGTTACGATCTCATAAATTTTATTATATCATAATACAAAAATAGAATTATTTGTGTTATAATATAATAATTATTTGTATTATTTTTAGTTAGATTAAAAATTATTTTTAGTTAGATTGGTGTTATTAATTTAATCTTCAAAATTGTAAGAATATGATGACGTCACTTAAATTAAATAAGTACTGTTTGACTGCTGCTTTAAAAGAATTTAATGGCTTCATGTTTTTTATTTTCTTTTCAAAGATTAAACTTTTAGGTCATAGCCTTTGAGGTAAAATTGAAAAATAAGCTTTTTTAAGTAAAATCTTCAGAAGTTTAAAGTTATGAAAAGTATGTTAGATATTTGTGATCAATGATGGAAAATTGATTTTCAAAGTATTTTGGTAGCACGTCATTTTACAATTGAAATAGATATGCTAAGTTTTGGAAGAGGTTTAGTTCATAAATATTAGAAACTTCAACTTCCTTAAAGAAAGATTGATCTGTAAGCATTGCATATAATTCGACACGTTTGATATTGTTTTATGAATATTTTTTTAGTACTGAAGAGCATGAGCTTGACTAAAATATGTTATGCAATAGTTGATATAACTGTGAATAAATTTTATATACATATATTTGAAAAGCTGAAGTGGTAATTTATCAGAGTTCGTTATCAGATTTATCTGGTTTATCTGAAGTTATCAGGATTATCTGAAGTTATCAGAGTTATCAGGTTTATCTGAAGTTGGTTATTTATCAGATGGTTTGCAAAATAAAATATATTTAGTTTTGATAATGTTTAAAGTAAGTTTATTAGCTTTAAACCTCTCATTTAGGTATTGTATTTCATACAAATGAATTTCATAATTAAATGTAGAAAATATTGTTTTTATATCGGAGTGTTAAAAGAAAATATTCGTGCCATCAGCAAAAAGAATATAATGTTTGAAGTTAAGTAAATATCATTTACATAATGTAAAAAGAGTTAAGGTCCATGAATAAAGCTTTAGGGTACACCACAACTAATAGACTATAACCGGGGGACTATAATATCTGTCAAATATCAATAATAGTTGTATCAAAATATAAAATATTCGTTTTTGTTCACTGTAACACAATAACTAGCAACAACTTTATCCATTAGGGTTTGTCGTCACTAGCATCTACTCCAAGATTTATTGAGTTTTTCTTTTATTTCAGTCATAAAAACATCTTTTTATTTAATACAACAGTAAAATACTTTTTCGTATTGCTTTTGAAAGTCTACCTTTTGAAAGTCTTTTTGTGTTTATTTTTCTTTTCATAACTTTTCTTTACTGATTTTGGAAACAAATTGTAATATGTTTCCTTCTTTCTGTATGTCAAATAAGGACGCTTTGAAAAAAAAGTACTGTGTTTGAAGTTTAAAAACAAAACTTTCTAAGAGGTTTGCCCCTTCTACCCGTAATGTGAGGGCAAGAAGTTAATACAATTTTTTTTAATGTTCAAAACTAAATTTATACTTTTTGAGCGGTTTTAACCTTTATTTGGAATTTAAAACGCTCAAAAAAATTAAATTTAAAACATCCCCATTGTTAATTATTTAATATTATATAATAGGTTTTTTATTGGTTAAGAACCGATCCACGTAGACAAAGAAAAGCTGATTTTATCATTTTAAATGGAAGTTTAACTCTAATAAAGGTTAAAACTATATTCTACCATTCTCCTGACTTTTCAGCAATTTGCTCAGCTAATCTTTGTGATATATTGTGCCTTCTGGACCAATTCCGCCGGTTATTGAGAAAATGAACTTCGATCACGGAACGTAAAGGCGAGTTTCCACTCATCCGTTTTTCTACGGAAACGGGATAGGAAAGAAAAAAATAATCACGTGAGCATGCGTAATAAAGGTTTTTATTTGTCCGAAAACCGCGCATGCTCACGTGATTATTTTTCCGTTCCCTTTCCCTTTCCCGTTGAAAAACGGATGATTGGAAACTCACCTTAAAGGTTCTGTGTTCGATATACATACCGAGTTATGATAGATAGAGTTAACTCTACCGTTGTTTCAATTTTCGTATTTTGCATATTTAATTTAGGTATAACTCAATTTGTGGTGTCTTGCGTCTGTATGATATTTTGTTGACTACGACATATTTCTGTTAAAAGGTTAGGTCTGTGAATTATGAAAAGACGAAAAATATTAAAATTATAAACTTTGCGGTATCATAAAATAAAAGCGATAAAACCCAGACCGAAGATTCTTGTTTTTTTAAAAAAATCATCTTAAAATCAAAATCGCTCGTCCAAATTTGTATTAGATTTTAAATTAATACGTTTTCTAGGTGAAATGAACATTGTAGTTTAACAATATGATCTGTTCTGATTGTTTATTGGCAATTTTCCATAACTATATACTCTTTTTTGGAATTATAGTATTTTTTGTGAAAATTGATAGAAATATTGTGTTTTAACAACTATATATAGTTAGTATACGTCAGAACCGATTAGAACTAGGATCAGTAGTAAATTAAGGAGCTTTTTAAAAAGATTTTAACTAAATTTATGTTAACGGCGATGAGCGTAATTGATCTAAAGACTCCGAAATAGTGTCCTTTAGATTCACTATTACAGGTAGTAAAAAGGTTTTAAAAATTATATATATAAAAAGGAAAAAGTTTCTTTAAATATTAAAAAAACCTGAAACAAAAACAATTATACCATCTAAAGCTTTTGTTTGGACATAATACGCTTATAAAATCATGCTAATTCCAATTAAAAGTATTTAAATAATTTGTAATTCGCCTTAATTACACCGAGTATCTAAAACCAATGATTCTAAAACTCTCGGGGACGAATATCGAGTTTTCGTCGTCTGCTTCGCCTGCTCCATTTACTTTTACCCCCTTGTATTAGACGCGCGAGAGTAAATATTAGTAAATATGCCTTTTAACGATGCAAAACCGTAAGAAAAAGCATTAACATTTACCTTATTATCAAGTTTTAATCTATTTTGATTTTAGACTTTTGTCAGAAATTTAAATGTATTTTATTAACAACTTATAACTGAGTTTTACTCACAATTTTTTACTGTATTTCGTCATTTAATTTAGGCGTGAAACTTAATACACGTAGTCGTGACTCAAGTTTTAAAATTGCGAGAAATATTTGTATAACTGTCCGACGCGTATTTTAATGTTCTGACCACAATTGTTATTGAATGATGCTGAATAGTTGTGAATACCATTATTACGTCTTTGCTGCATGCTGAATGACATCTTAAATGACAATTTAAAATGACATTTTATATTGCCATTTAATATGCCAAGGAGCAAGCAATGAAGTTAAACACATTTTATGTTGCTTAAAGAGAAAAAGCAGTTTATTAATTGAAAATATATCCCAATTATATAAAATGCAAAATTTGAAATGTTTCATTAAATATATTAAATATTGGCGATTAATAATCTAACGTTTGAAGAAAACGAATCGAAATTTGTTTCCTAATCGAATAAAAAATAAAAAACTATTAGTGATCTTAAAAACTTCAAAAAAGAAGTGTAGTAAAGTTGAGTAATAAAAAGTATTGGGTTCAAAGCGTTGTTTTGAAATTTAAAAAAGTAGCATTTTAAACTTGAACTCAACTTTCCGCTTTCTATTATTTCTAAAATAATAATTTTTGTGTGCAAACAATTAAGTTGTTGAATAGTATTTCCAAATGCATGATGTTGGAAATACATCTGGCAGTTTATTTTAAAGCTCGTGCTTTTGTTTCTCTCTGCCTCTGACACTGCAGTATCAGTACTGCATTCAATACTGATACAGTATCTGTACAGTATACTGGTACAGTATCAGTATATATACTGATACAGTATTAGCTGCAGTATCAGTACAGTATGCAGTATCAGGGGCAGAGTGAAACAAAAGCATGAGTTTTTAACAAAGCATGAATAGTTTTTTTTATTAACGTTTCAATTTAAAATACTTTCTTAAAGTATAGTTCAAAAATCCATACCAAAATCAATTTAATTTTTTCTTTTTTTTTTTCTATATGTTTAACTCATTTTTTAGCAAAGTCTTTTTTTACACAATGTTTTTATAAAGCATTAGAAAATACTTTTGATCTGGCTACAAACAGGAGCCGCTTATAAATACTCTTAATAAACTTAGCTAAAGTTAGAATTAAAGTCAAAAAGCCTTATCTTTGAATTATTTCCTTTGAAATAAAGTTAGTTTAATTAAAACAAGTGAAATTTAAACACTAAACAAATGTTTGTATTTTTTATATTTTTGTTTTTTTATGTTAAAATAATTATTAAGCTATAATTCATAAGTTTACAAGTTTTTAATTCATAATTCTACAACTTATAAGTTATAATTTAATATAATATAAATTATAATAATATAAAATTAATATGAAATATAGTAAATTTTAACATAAATTATTTAACTTATAATTTATTAGTTAATAACCTATAATTTATAAATTCATAAAATAAATAAATGTAATTATTTTTAGATGCAGTTTAAATTTCAAATACTATTTCTCTATATAAATATATTTAAAAACAAAAAAAAAAATATTCCGATGAAAGTAAAAAGTAAAAAATACAACTTAAAAAAGGTCTAACTCTAAAGCAAGCACCTCATAGATCAAAATTTTACTTACTAAATAAAAGTATTAATAATTATAAAAAAAATTTTTTATAAATAGTTTTATATTTTACAATGTTTTATATTATTTCTTTGTGTGTGTCAGATTTAGCGTTTGTTTTTAAGATTTTTTGTTGTTGCAGTAAATATGACTGAAATCTAAAGCAAAAATATAGATAGAATGATTTATTTTCATTGGTGTTATTAAACATGGAGTATTATTAGATGGAGGTATTATTTGGTAAATGTTCTACAATATTATAATTTTTCTTAAATTTATATTAAATAGAAGTAAGTAATTTTACCAAAATAATAGTTATAGTAATAATAACAACAATAGTAATAACAATATTAGTAATTTTAATAATAGTAACAACAATAGCAGCATAATAATATAACTAAATATATATATATATATATATATATATATATATATATATATATATATATATATATATATATATATATATATATATATAACATAATAAAACATAATATATAATAAAATATAACATAATAATAGTAAAAATAATAATGATAAGTAAGCAATTATTTTTTATTAACAATAAAAATAGAAATATATAATTTTCAGCTTGAAGTTGACAATATAAATCTTGCTGATGAGTTGCTAACTTTTCGACAGCAATGGCATGAAGAGTTGCTGGTTTTACAAGAAAATAAAGAAGATCAAACAAGTAAAAATCTTTCTGTTGAAGAAAAAGTAAGTGTTATTTAAAATGAATCATCATAATCATCCATCATTATGGAAATAATACAAAGAGTGTGTTATAAAAGTTATATAACAGTGTAAACTTTTTAAAACCTTAAATGCTTATATTTGTGTTTCATATTATTATTTTGATTACATTTTTTTATATAAGAAGAGAGATAAAATGTATATTTTTTTTATATACTAAATGCTTTTTATTATTGTATTCTTTTAATTTCTATCTTACATTGTGCTTCAAAGTATCAAAATAAAAATCTTTTAGAATGTATAAAATAAGATAATAGTTACTTTACTATTACTTATTTACTAACAACTAAGTTACTTTATTGTTAAAAAATTATTTATATCTATTATTATTATTAAAATTATTAAATTATTATTAAAATTATTTATATCTATTATTAATAATTTTAAATAATTTTATTTGTATTTAAGACTTCAGATTTTAACTACTTTTGAAAATAATCATTTTTGAGATTTACGTTTTATTTGAATTTTCTAATATTCTGTAATGTTAAATTGACTAATATTAAATGCTAGAGTAATAAATCATAGTATTTTTTGATATTAAAGTTTATGTCTTTAAAGATGATCACTAATCTGTCAACTAATCTAATCAGTAATTTTAAATAAGCCATATTAGATCTTATTTTCTGCATATAATGTGACATGTTAGGCTTTTGCAATTGGGCAAATTGCACACATTGAATTCAGATATTAGAGAAAATATACAAGAATTAAAGTATTGCTTATGGGTTTAGAATAACCTTTTCAAATAAATATGAGTTTGATCTATCATATTGTGCCACAAAATGGTGTCAGAACTTATGTAGATTACTTTACATTAAACTTACGGTGCCTAAAAGTAATGTTGCTTTCAGAGCAATAAATAAAGCGAAACAAAAATAGCGTCTACTCTTTTAAAATTCTCTGAAACTATTAATGCCAAATATTATAAATGGAGTTATTCTTAAAGCATAGGTCTTATACCACAATATAATATAAAGTTTTTGGTATCCAAACATTACGCATAAATTTGCTTAGCTAAATCAAAAGATATACATGTTGCGGTCAGTCAAAACCAGTGTTCTATTAGTGTACTACTTGTCCATCATTATTAATTACTTGCAAACCAATCCTTTTGCCTACTTCTACAAACACAACCTGCCGACGGTCTTTAACCATTGGTAAACTCTTCATAACTTTATTTATTGCCTTACCAAAAGACTGTAAAAAATGTCTGTTGATCTATGGATATACTTTCTGCCTCTCTTTTCCTTTTATTTTGCTTCTATGTCCCTTTTTACATTGTTCTTCTAATTGATCAGGTGTCATGTTTTGTCTCAAGAAGCGTACTCAGTTCATTTCATATACTTTGTAATCTGGATGAGAATCATGACATTTTTTTGAATCTAGATCTCATATCTAAAATAAAATATTATTAAAATGTAAATTATGACAAACAAGCGCTTAAATGGTTAATCCAAATTAATTTGGATCAATTGTTAACTTTTGTTAACAGTTGTTTACAATTGTTTGATACATTGAATTTTAAAACATAAAAAAAACCCAGATATTTACTTATTGTAATGCAAAAAGTGTATTGGATGTTGGAATTAAGGTACGCCCTAAGTTAGAAATACTTCACTATGGTAGTTCAGACATGTTATGTTGCGTTCAAACATTTATGTTTTGTACAGAAATGTTGCGTTCAGACAAATTTAACGATCATGTTATTTAACGACATAAATATTAAATGAGAAGTTAATGTTATAATCATAAACATTGATGCTAATTACAATTTATATAAATTTAACTATAAATGTCACGAAAAATTATAGAATAACAATAAGTTATTAATAATGGTGTTGCGTTCAGACAAAAAATATTTTAAACATAAATATCTACAAAACAACAGATAAGAGTGATTACGACCTTGTGTTAAAAAAAAAAAGAAGAGTAAAACTGGCAGTACAAAATAAAACGCTTAAACAAATAAAAATGTTGTAGTTAGATGTATTCTGCTTATCTTATATTTACAAAAAATAAATTTTGTTGTTATATATTTTTAATAAATGAAATACAGTGAGCCGCAAAATACTTTTTCAGAATAATCATAGAAAACATAATTTTAATATTAATGTTTACCAAAATAATGTTGAGAAATGCATATAGTAATATTTTTTTTGACATGATTTTTAATCTTCTGACGTGGAATTGCCATCTGTAACATCTAGACCCGCAAGCCGCCACAGTTAGCCGCTAACCATCCCCTAGCACAACTTTATTTTTAGCCAGCTGTAAAAAATGCCTTCGCCAGCCATTAAAAATAAGTAGCCATAGTAACAAAATAACCATCATTACTGTATTAGTTAATTGATTTAAATCTTTAAATTAGTTTATGTCCAATTTTTGGCATACAATTATATCATATCACCTACCAATTGTTTCATAATATAGCATTTGGTTTAACCATGGAATTCCACGATATAAATTAGTCTTATGTTAAAATACCATAAGTCTTATGTTTGAATACTTAATTTTCACACTAGAAAGTCTATTGCAGTCCGAAAACAGTAGTCAATGTTTATCAGTAAAAAAAGAAAAATTGTCATCTGCACAATTTAAATTCTTATTGTATACATATAATGGAAACAAATTTATATATATATATATATATATATATATATTTATATTTATATTTATATATATATATATATATATATATATATATATATATATTTATATTTATATTTATATACTAGATCTTGAATGAGTAAATAAATTTGTTTCCATTGAAAAAAAAAACTGGTACAACTTTCTAGCTCAAGATTCTGAGATGGATTCTGTGTCCAACCACAAATCTAGTGCTACTACATCCAATGCATGGGACTTCATGGGTTAAATAGTCTCGAAAGATTCAAGAAACCAAATTAATCAAAATTTTTTATTTAGTAATCAGTTGTATTGCAGATACTGTTTCGAAGAGCAATCACATGTCGATAAAGGTGAAGTAGCATAAACCTTTGATAAATTACCTTTATCGACATGTGAGCAATCACATGTCAATAAAGGTAATTTATCAAAGGTTTATGCTACTTCAACTACGACATCCTCTGGTAATCATCTAAACCATGCTGTTTTTATACATGGAAAGACTTTTGAGCAACCAGTTTATTCTAATATTACTAATTGGGTCTACAACATAATAAACTGGCACAAAGTCAATTTGAATTAAACAGAGATCTTTGTCTGTTAATATGTTCAGATCTTAAACCATTTAGCTCAGTTGAAAGATCTGTGTTTAAAAATTTTTCTCCATCATCTGACTGTATATCCGAATCTGCCCTACAAAATGTTTATACTTCTGTTAAACAAAGATTCTTAGAAGTTCTACAATCATGTGTAAGTGGAACTTTGATGATGGATGGTTGGACTGACAAGCTTAATCATTTACCTTATTTTGGAATTTGTTTAAGTGTTGTGTGTGATAGTAGATTTAAAATTTTTGCATTGGCTGTTTAGCCAGTGGAGTCACACACTTCTGAGCTACTTTATCAGTTTATTAAAACTGTGTTTAAAATAATTTTTACCTCAAGGTAACCTTTTTAATTTTTTAACACAATTGATGGTGCAGCTAATATGAAAAAATTATCTAAGCTATTAGGCTATGAATGTATAACATTCTATGTGCGGTGCACACATAGAATTTATCTGCTTTTAACCTCAGATAGCTTTAAAAAATTTCCAGAATATTTACTGGTAAGCAAATGCAAAGAAGTAATGAAAGCTTTACATTTTAAGGGATATATGCTATCAAATGAAATTAAAACTGTGAAAGATGAGAAGTTGTTCAAAAGAATTACAACTCATGTTGGCCAGCTATTAGCTGATGAAGAGAATCGAATTCTAGATTTTGAAATTGAAACTGAAAATGTAAGCATTCTTGCACAAACACAGCAACTAAACCTGTTAGTCAGGCTTATGAAAAGTATTCACTTCTGCATTTTGACATACAAACTAAAAATGGAAAAAGTTATCCAAAAACAAAATTACGTAAATGTCATGAGCTTAGTTTAAAAAAAAATAGTGTCCCAACAAGATGGAATAGTACTCTTGAAATAATTGAATCTTAGGCCTGAAAACTCATGTTGGTACAGTGTTAAATAAAATTAGAAAGTATGATTTATGTTTTCTTCCTGAAGATTTAGAACTTTGCATGAACTGCGCATTTTTTATCTCTTTTTTGAGAACTGACTCTCCTTGTTAGCGAGGGAACACTGAATCTGTCTTACCTTCCACTTATGGTAACCAAAATTAAAAATTGGTGGATTGTTTAAGTCACAGGTTCTTCTGCTATAAAACGATATAAAAAGTTAGTTGGAAAATGCATTGAGAAACGGTTGTTACTAATTTAGTAAAATTAGTTATTAATTTAGTAGAATTAGCGTGTTGTTTTGATCCAGAAATTTGTGATGTTGTTTTGACAAAGGAAAAAATATGAAATTTTGTTAAAAAACAGCTATAACAAAATTAAGACCATATAAAGTTTAAACCCCCGTTTAAAAATTAAGACCATATAAAGTTTAAACAATTGGGGCATGGGGGAAGGGGGCGAAAAAATTTTAGGGCTTTTTTGTTCCCAACCTCCAATCATCGCAATTTTTTGCAAAGCATCCTAATTTGACATAAGGATGCTTTGCAAAATATATATATATATATATATATATATATATATATATATATATATATATATATATATATATATATATATATATATATATATATATATATATATATATATATATATATATATATATATATATATATATATATATATATATATTAGAAACAAAAAAAAATATATATTATATATATATATATATATATATATATATATATATATATATATATATATAACAAATATATAACCTGAAAAATCTTAAGCAAACTATCATTTTATTGTCAGATAGACAGCTTAAGACTAAACTTGGATGTTTTATCTTTTCTTGAGTTAAAAAAAATTTGTTTCTTTGTCACTCCACCAGACACAACAGGAGTTACTTAACTTCTTGACCAAGTAAATTAGAATATTCATAGCGAGTATTATAAATAGAAAGACTCATTTATGTAAAATCTAGCCAATATATGGGACAAATAGACAACCAAAGAAACTATTATAAAAATCTGCTAGAAGAGTTAGTGTTAGGGAAAATTATTGAATTTATGATATAAAAAAGCAGAAAACTGTACTGAAGCAGAGAAACAGCCATCTCCCTTAATTTTTTCGCCTGATAAAAGACGTGGTTCAGCAAGTTGCTAGAAATCAAAGTTCGAACAAGCAATAAAAATAATTGATGAAGTTTATGAAAAAAGTATCTAACTGGAAGAAATACCAGGTTTTATGACAACCAAAGGTCAAGCCTAAATTATCTTGACATAAATTTTTTGCGCGGTTTAAAGCTTTAACAAAATAAACCTAAAAAAGACAACAGACAATCGATAAAAAGGCAAAAAAAAACTAGAGGAGTTCTCAAGAAAATATTTGAAAATTCTTAGCATAAGTGCAGCTCAGGATTTAAAAAAACTTTATTACAGGAAACTGCAAAATCTTTACTAAATTCTGCAGCAATATTAGCAATGGGTTGCTGAAATAAATCTTTATCTTACCATTTGCGACAATCGCCAGCCTTGTAGTTTTGGAAAAACAATGCAGAAAAATTCCCTATTCTAGCATCCATAGCCAAGGTAGAAGTTATTTTTATTTTTAACATTAAACTAATATTAGTGACAAAAATAACAACAACTAAAATATACAGTTAAGATAAAAATATAGTCTATTCTAATTTTTTTTTAATAAATACATATTCGTTATAATTTTTTTGAAAAAAAAAAAAGTTGTTTTGCATTATAAACATGAATTTTTTTCCTGAAGTTTAATGTTGCTTATTTTACATAGGTTGTTGCAGGTTTTTCTTGCATTGAGCATCGGCAGTGTACCTGTTAAATGCCTTTTTAGCACAACTGGTTTAATTTTAAATTAAAATCTCCTTGATCTTTGAATTAAGATCCTCCTTGGCACCATATAAAATGAATGCAGTTTGTTTTATACATGATAACTATCCAAATGCTGGTCTATGAGCTAAGACTTGCATTTTTTGGATAAGGACAATATTTATGTTTTTATTTTATTTTGATTACCTTTGTACTTCATATATGTATATTTATTATATGCAAAATTTTAGTTTGATTAGTGCTGTCAGTATTATACTTGTATATATGTCATTATTATACTATATATATACAGGCTTCGGCAGGAGTAAATGAGTGTACGTGTTATAAACAGCCCGTCTAAACCTGTCTTTGCAGGCTATGTTGTGGTTTTTTTTGAAAAATCAAAATTATTACGTCTTGATGAAATTTTTTTTTATTCTGAATGTTTATTTTGTTGATTCTTTATGCCAGTATCTTATTTATTATTTTATTATGTTCATTTATTTCTCTATTTTATTATTTTAATTATGTTCATTCATTTTTCTTCTTCTTTGTGAATGAAAATTTCATCGTATATAAAAATTTCTACTATCTACAATTCTACAATTATTAACAAGTAGGAGAGTGACAAATAATTTAAAAAGACTTTGGTAATTAAACTTCGAATAGTAATAGGATACTTGTAAAATTGAGATAATAGTTTTACGAAGTTACACTGTAGTTTTTATCTTTTGCTCAGAGTTATTAGTGTGCAGTCTACTTAGTTAGTTTTTTTATTCTCCAGTTTTATGAGTTGTATAATTGGATTTTTTTTGATTCCAGATATAAACGCAATTTTATTCCAGATATAAATGCAATAATTTGCAAACAACGCAAAAAATGGCAAAAAAACAACCTTCGTAACCATCACGTTTATTTATTCAAGTATCTTGACATTTGCATCAAAAATTTTGCAATGAACGTAGCAATTTGCAAGATCTATTTGAGTATAAATATGTCTTATTAAAATAATGGAATAAAATATAACATTTTTTATTGCGCTTCTTTAGTTAAATCATTTTTCTTGTGCTTTGTAAATTAAATTAAATTTTAAAAATTTAACCGTGATCTCTAAGCTATAAAGATATAATGACAATTATATTGAAATCTTTTTTTAAATAAACCTTGTACTAAAGAGTTCTATTATTTTCCAATTGTTTTTTAACTGTTGAGACTAAAGTTTTAATTGTTTCTATTGTTTATGTTCAATTTACTATCATACTCTTTTATGAACTCGTAATTTATTTTATATTCTTTTCGGAAATTAGGAGAAGATGTATGTTATGTTGATGTGACATGTAAGTTAAAATTTGAGACAATCTAATTTTTAATTTCTAAGAGACTTAGTGCAAATAGATTTTTTAAGATTCTGGTATATACACTTCTTAAATATATGCTTCTTAAGTATATTCTTATATAATATAGACATGTATAAAAAAAGTGTTATATGAATTAAAAAACAAATCTTTTTTACATTTATTTATGAATAGAACCAATAGCAGGGTATTAAATGCTTATTATGCAAGTGCTAAATGCAAGTACTATTTTATATATCAGGTTTATTGCTGTAAAATATTTAAAAGTATTAAATATAGCGCAAGTATAAAAACGAAAATAAATTATGAAGAAATCATGTAGTATTATTTTTATCATTCAAAAGAAATACACACAGTTATAAATTATTTTATAAATTCATTTTAAATAAATTAGCCCAGAATATCTTCAATTTCAAAATCAAATACAGTTTCTTCTCTTTCATTTGTATCACTTTCACAATATTAGCATATTTTTTTTTTTGTATGTATTTAGGTGCTCCCAGAAGTCCTTACGGTCTTATCATAGAGCACCGCGGGAGAGCATTTAACTGGAAGTTCACACCTCCTTCCGTACCAATGTCGCTTGTTGGGCTGGAGCTGGCGTCGAACCTCGGACCTCTGGGTTCTGAGCCAGAACTCTAACTACTGCGCCACGGCGGCAGCCGTGGCGCAGTAGTTAGAGTTGTGCCGCAGTGGTTAGAGTGGTGCCGCCGTGGCGCAGTGGTTAACTCTAACCACTGTGCCAGTGGTTAACTCTAACCACTGTGCCACTAAACTGTCGCCTTTTTCAAGAAAAATCAAGAAGTTAACGCAGAAGAATACAGGAAAATATGTACTACTTTTTAAACATTTTTAAAGTATGACAAACTAGTTTATCAATTAATTAAGCAAAATGTGTGATTATACAAAAAAGAAATTGTCTTTATTATCTAAGCAAAATGTGTGATTATGCAAAAAAGTTATTGTCTTTATTAACTAACCGTTCTTATTGTATAAGTGTAAAATTTTCAAAAGCATACTGAAAACTCTTCCAATTCTTAAAATTTTAAAACTCTTCAAACTCGTAAAATTTTCCAAAGCATACTGACTATTATGTTAAATTCTTTTGCAACACATGCATATTTTGCCTGCTTTTTAACATACTAATTTATCTATTAATTTATTATTTTAACATACTATTTATTACTTATATTTTTGGGATTATAATTTTTGTTATTAAATGCCAGTATGCTAGTAACACTCTAAAAAACCAATTCTTTAGGCTGCACAGTTTTTTAAGCAAGGTGCACAATTTGAAGCTGATGGAAACATAAATGCAGGTATAAGCAAGTTTTTTAAAAGATCATTAATATTTATGTAATAATTTTTTTTGGTTTTTAAATAAGTATGATTATTTTTTCAGCTCTTTATTTCTATCGTCAGGCAGTCAGATTAGTTCCTGATATCGAGTTTAGTTCGAGATTAGTTCCTGATATCGAGTTTAAGATTAAGTATGATGAAAGAGACCAGATTGATACAGGTATTATTTATAATTAAGAAAATTTATCTTCTATCTTGAGAAACATGTTTGTGGACCCATAACCCAATGTTTTATATACGTATGTGTATATAAACATGCATACTAACAATTGTTTCTTATTTGTACGCACAAACATTTTTTCTTACAAAACATAGAAATGAGGTTGGCAATATTTTGCTGGCCTCAAACACTTTAAGGTCGGCATTGCCAAACGCTGACCCTAACTCTGAGGGCTATATATATATATATATATATATATATATATATATATATATATATATATATATATATATATATATATATATATATATATATATATATACATACAAACACGCGTAGAAAAGAAATTAATTATTTAAAATAAAGTTAATACTAACCTACTTTAACAAAAAGAAATCAAAGAAATGAAATTTAAATCTATAACATTGAATGTTTAGTTAAAAGCGTTTTTGTGTTTAATGTTTAGAGCAAGAAGTTAAAATTGGTTTTTCTGACAATAGTACTGAGATGTAAGTGGTTTTAATATAATTTTAAAAACATTTTATAAAACATTGTTTGTCATTTTATTTTTATAAGTTAGAAAATTATTCATAAAATTGCTAACTCTTACCTGTTTTCTTCATTTTTTCTTTTATTTTGTGGTTTAGTATTGTATAATTGTATAATAACTTGTTTTACAGCAATACCTTAGAAACACTAACAATTTCTTTGCAATATTTAAATGTTAAAGGATCATGCATTGCTGAAGTTCCTCAAAAGGTTTTAAATATTTTTAATATATATATATATATATATATATATATATATATATATATATATATATATATATATATATATATATATATATATATATATATATATATATATATATATATATATATATATATATATATATATATATATATATATATATATATATATATTTATATATATATATGTATATATATATATATATATATATATATATATATATATATATATATATATATATATATATATATATATATATATATATATATATATATATATATATATATGTAAAAAGTCTAATTTTTTACAATTTAATTTATGGTTTAATGATTGTAATAATCACTGGTGTAATGTTTGCAAAATCAAATGTTTATACTTTTAAAACTTTTTTCAAGAAACAAAAAATAATTAACTATTCAAAATGTACGATTTAAATAAACCCTTCTTTCTCACTTGCATTAAGTCCAAAATTGTTACTGTAGCTAGATTTATTTTTAACTTTCAGGAATGATCCTTACAATGTTACTGGGTATTACAGATGCTGCTGTAACTAAATTTATAATTATTGAGCATTAAAATTCTTTTAAATTTTTCCAATTTTTTTTCGATTTCAAATTTCAATCACAAAATTATTTGGATAAGAGAATTTTAGAAGACTAAAATTCTATTGTTTGAATAGATTTTTTTTAAAAAAAAACCTCCTTAAAACAACTTGCCTATAATTAGAAAATGTTTAATCTTGATATGGCTTTAAATAAAATGAAAATATAAAACAATTGTATTGCGTTTTTCATATTCTATTCTTGTTTTCAGTTAGAAGCTTATATTATGTATTACTAACATAAAAGATATAAATGAAATATTTGTATGGCTAACTTTTGCAAGTCTTTAAGTACATTAAGTAAATTTAATAGTCAAGTAACTTACAGTTACAGTAGTAATTTAACTAGTTGTATTGATTTAGTTTATATGTTAGTAATACATAATATTATTAAGTTATTATAAGTGATATTATTATGTTAGTAATACATAATATAAGCTTCTAACTGTAAACAAGAACAGAATATGAAAAACGCAATTCAATTGTTTTATATTTTCAACTCAACTTAATTTCTCTGCGCAGAGGCCTTGCTTGTCAAGGTTCGTGTTTCGGAGTTAAAGAGTTGAGAGAAGGTTGTACCACGATTTACTACAAAAAAAAAAAAAAAAAAAAAAGTAGAGTAGACTGTAGTGGCTTCCTCGGGCCTTGGGGAGGTGAATAATTAAAAAATATATATATATATATATATATATATATATATATAAATTTACTACAATGTATTTTATTAATTAAGTAAATCAAACTAAATATAAACTTCAAAATATTATTGCCTTCCACACAGAGATTTAAAGTAATTTAAATTCAAAAGTACTTTATGTTGAATTAAATTCTCTGTGCAAAAGAGCAAATGATAATATTTCTATTCAAATGATAAATTTAGCAAGACATACAAACCCTAATAAAAAACTTAGACAATAACATTACTTTTAAGAATGGCCACACAAAATGTAAAATTAGACAAGAAAAATAACAAAACAAAATTTAAAGTAAAAAACGGTTCCCAAAGGTGTGAAATGAAATTGCAATTTGTGCCCTTGATTAGAGCCCTGTATATATACCTCTATATGTGTATATATATATTATTTAACATATTTTATATTAAACCACTTAAAAAATGATATATAATATATCGTTTTTTAAGTGGTTTGTTTTTATTATTAATTAAAACTTTGATTGTTAAATTCTTTCAACATAAAACAAGGCAGATAGAACCCTATAATTCTCATGCGACGATATGTATGTATATATATATATATATATATATATATATATATATATATATATATATATATATATATATATATATATATATATATATATATATATATATATATATATATATATATATATATATATATATATATATAGTATATATATATATACATATATATATATATATATATATATATATATATATATATATATATATATATATATATATATATATATATATATATATATATATATTATATATATATACATATATATATATATATATATATATATATATATATATATGTATATATATATATATATATATATATATATATATATATATATATATATATATATATATATATATATATATATATATATATATATATATATATATTAAGAACAATGTATAATACTAGATACTTTTTAAAAATGGATACAACAAAAGTTGACATCAATACACCTCACAATAAAAGTAAAAAAAGAAAAATTGAAGATGAGGACAGATTATTTCATGGTGATTGGACAGAATATAAACCTATATGTTTAATTTGCAATACTGAACTTGCTCATAATAAGGCTTAATTTTAAATGCCACTATGAAATATACTCATAAGGGTTACTTAAGATATGAATGCAACCTTGGCAATCAAATAAATTATCAGGTTGGTTTATCAAAACTAATATTATTAAATAGTTTTACTTTTGTAGATCACAGTACTTGTTATGCAGCTTCTTTACATTGTCTGCTACTTTAGACACAACTTTGGTTTTGTACCCTGTCAGTGACAACCCAGAGTTTATTTTGGGATATTGGTTTTTGGCCACGTGTATATTGGGGGGGGGGATAATATATTATTTATTTTTAATTTTTAAATATAATTAAAAAATTGTGTTTAATAAAAAAGTTATATTTACTTTAGATTTTTTTTTACTAAATCCTAATAACTTTTAGTTAGTTAACTAATTAGTTACTACTACTGCATTTGAAACTAATCTTATTTTAAATAAAAAAGCAAAAAATAAATTGAAAGTTTTTTTTTTTGAGCGCCCATACCGCTCCAGCGGTACCACAAGGGTTGAATTAACGCATCGCGATTTGCGATATCTGTTAAATTATCTGGTCAAATTATCAACGGATATTTAAACAATGTTAAAAGCCTAAGCAACTTTTAAGAATACATACTTTTATAAACAGTTTAGCATTTCTAAACATCTTACTAACAGTCCGGAAAAAAAGCGCGTTTACTTTAAAATCAACCAATGAAAACACTGGTAATTTACTTCTTAGGAGAAATCTATATTAAAAGGGGAGGGGTGAGGAGGCTATAAACTTAAATTTTGTTTTATTATTTAATCAATTAAATCATAATAAAAGTAAAGACAAAAAAATTATATTTCTATTTATACTTCTTTATAACTAAAATTTATTAAATTGAACACCTCTGTTTTTAGTTTTAAGTAAATGTCAGTACTACTCTCAGTGGCGAAACTGCGGGGAAGGGGGGGCAACTTTAAAATCAACTAATGAAAACATAATGTACTTACCAGGAGGGAGGTTATTAGGGAAGGGGGCTATAATTTTTTTTACTAATTAGTTAATTAAATAGTAATAAAAGTAAAGATAAAAGTATATATTTTAAAATATACTTTTTTATAACTAAAAGTTATTAAAAATTTGTTATAAAAATTCGTGGTTTATAATATAAAGCGCTGGCTATTAACCCATGCATTTAAAAAATATATGCAAGTCCTTGGTACCACTAGATTACAGAGGGACTTGAAAGAGTGTCCCAAAGAAATTTAATTGTAAAAGGTTCTATAAAGTAAAGTTATTACAAAAGATTTTCCGGACCGTTAGTATGATGTTTAGAAATGCTAAACTGTTTATAAAAGTATGTATTCGTAAAAGTTGCTTAGGCTTTTAACATTGTTTAAATATCTGTTGTATTTTTTCTAGATGCATTACTACTTTAATTAAAGTTTGGAATTACTTAACTAAATCATTTTTATTTATAATAGCTTGATTATGTGTTGTTTGATCAAACAATAAACTATAAATGTAACTTAAAAGAGTGTTATAAAAGTAACAACACTGTAGTGTTATTACTTTTGTAGTCATAAATTTATTGTTTTGTTTTTCATAACATTTTCACTAACAAATTAAAGTTTATTCGCCTATTCCGTAAATTTCGTGGTTTTCCATAAACTGAAAATTTGAAGACCAGATAATTTAACAGATATCGCAAATCGCGATGCGTTAATTCAACCCTTGTACCAAAATGGGTCTGGGTTTGTCTCTGCCTATCATATATGTATATATATATATATATATATATATATATATATATATATATATGTTAGTGGGCTTTGGCAGGCATATATATATATATATATATATATATATATATATATATATATATATATATATATATATATATATATATATGTATATATGTATATATATATATATATATATATATATATATATATATATATATATATATATATATATATATATATGTGTGTGTATATATATATATATTAGTGGGCTTTGAGTAAAACTCTTAATAAAACAGGCATAAGGAGCTAAACTGTTATAGTAATAAGGAAAGAGCCTTCAATTTTTTCATAAGCTTTGACCATATCTCATAAAGTGTTCTTGGGGTGCTTTCTTTGAGTTTCCTAAAGAGCTCTTTCCACAGATCAGTCTGTCAATCATTATCTTGCTCTACAATCTTCATCTTTTTTCTTCCAGTAACTTCCAACACTAATTAGTGGCTGCTTGCAGCCTTGTTGGAAGCAAAGATGTTAAAAAAAAAAAATTTCGGTTGAATTCAAATTGGGGTTCTGTGGTGGTAAGTAAACTGACCACCTCTGCTGAAAAGATCCACAGAAGAAGGTAGCATGTGAGAAAAGATCCACAGAAGAAGGTAGCAGAAGAAGGTAGCATGTGTCCTGCTTCTAGTCTTTTACGAACTAGTACTAGTCTTTTTAGTACTAGTCTATTACTAGTCTTTTACAAACAGTATTTTTTCCTTAATAGAAACTTTTGAGGTGATTTTGGGGATAGTTAGGCTATGCTTTTCAAGTGAGGTCCAAACAATAATCTGATCTTCACAAACTGTTATCTTTTGTGGTTTTCCAATTTTGGGTCGATCATCACAACTCTTGGTTTGTCTGTACTTTGATACAAT